TAAAAAGGTAGTAACCACCTAAATGTTCAACAATAAAAGAATAGTTAAGTAAACTATGATATGTCCACCTGCTGGAATACTGACTAGTCATTACAAATTATGTTTGTGAGGCCTATGTAGTGAAAGAAATGTTTACATTACACTGTTAGGTTTTAAGCTTAATAGCTGGATAGACCATTGAAACTACAGAGTAATTATACTGATTCATAAAGCACCTCTGTGGATTAGGGTTGGGAGGTAGAAAGAATACAATACAAAAATGTTACCAGTGTTCAAGACATAGGACTTGACTATAGGAGGCACTTATTTTCATTCTTTCAGCTTCTCAGCATTTTCCAAGTTTTCTTTAAAGGACATGTAACATTTAAAAAAACTAAGTAAACATTTTTAAAAAGGAGGTTTGATGGCAAAGAGAAGGGGATGGATGGGGAAGTGGCTCGGGAGGAATGCAGGATCAAGGGAAAGTGACTCGCTAGGAGAAGGATTATGTGAAAGTCTGTGGCCAGCAAGAAGGGTGAGTCTGATGTGAGAGTAGAAAGGATCCTGTGGAGGGCAAAGTAATTAGGGAAGGTGAGGGGTGAGGATGGGGTGGGGGACAGCTTGAGAGAAGAGAAAGACATCTAATCTGAGCAAGAGAGAAGGATGTAACAACTGATGACTTTGGAGAGATGTGCAGGGAATTTCTTACCTGGGAACATTTACTTTATTTGGAAACTGGAAGTTTTCCATCTATTGAAAGTAGAGATGTAGGAGTGTGATTGGAGACTTGAGAGGGAAATATGTGGGTTAGCTATTGTATGGATGGAAAATAGAATAAAAATGAGGATAATGAGGGGGAGTAGCCTCATGGTCTGGTCTCATCTGAGGACAGAAAGCAACCTTTGTCAGGGTATTAAGAGCTACATTGTGGGAAGGCCTTTGACTGGACCTAGCAGGCTGTAAATAGGAATGGAAAAGTCCAGCTGGAGTTGGGCTCTGGAAAGGCACATAGTCTAGAGGACAGAAGTCAAAACTCATAGAGGATGCTTGTGTGAGTATCACTGAAATGACCAACTGTGGGCCTGGGGCTCATAAACAAGGAAGTGAAACCAGGAGGAGTCTGACAGGCAAACTACACAATACATAGAAATAGAGGGGCTGAAGCCCTTAATGAGACTGAACAACCAGTTTAACCTGATCAAGGGTGACTGAGGAGTAGATGAAAAGGCAGGTAAGGGAAGAGCTAGGGTAGAGCAAGGTTTGCCATCGGGATGAGGGCAACTCCTCTGTGAGGGTGTGGTGGTGGGAACAGAGGGTCACAGAAACAGAGAAACAGTAGAGAAGGCGAGATGAGGGGGAGAGTTGTTGGGGGGATGGGCCATCAGAAGGGGTGTTGAGGTGGGCTACAGCTGGAAAGCAGAGACACTAAAGCCATTGGTGAATGTGGGGGAGTCCCTGGGGGTGTCAGATTCATAACGACAAGAATGGGAATGGGCATCCCAATGGCAGAGGAGAATAAAAATTTCAGGGATGGTGGTAAAAGATCCTAAAATTCAGTGCAGAGATAAGAATGCGTCAACACTAGCAATCTTTCATGAAAATCATTAATTGGAAAAATAATGTTTGTATTATCTTAGCATTCATCAAATATTGTTAATTGGTACAAGTATTGAAAAATATACCTGAAATTCAATAACTTTAGAATATGAGTTAGAAGTGATTAAAAAGCTACTAAGAGGGCAAGTAGGTAGGACATAGGCAATGCTATTAATTTAGATTTAGCATTTAGAAGAGAGCATCTGCAAAATGTTAAAAATGATTTTGAGAAAATACAGAGCAGCATTAATGCAAAAATGTGTAATAAGCACAATAAATTTAACAGATCTATAACTCATCATCTCTATGTTTATTCTTGGGAAGACATTTTCTAGAACATGCACACTTTGAATAATGCTGAGTCTTCAGGCATGCATCTCTTAGATAAATAAATCACATAAGAAACAGATCTAGGTAAATTCAAGTGAGGAAACCCTGGGGACATTTGAAAGTGTAATGTTGGAATTCAAAAGAAGAAGCCCAAGCTGGAGCTGTATAGTTGAAAGTTATCTGTGTATGACTAAGAGTTTAAATCATGAGTGAGAATGGACTTGCCAAGCATCAAGTACACATTTAAGGGAAGGTCAAAAACATGATCTTCTGAAGACAACAAATTCAGAGGACAGCAAGAGAGAAGCAGAGAGCGAAGGCCATCACTGAGGACATACAATGTGTCAAAAAGGTTCCAAGCATCTACTTCTAGCATCTCATTTAATCTGTTTAATTCCAGGCCGTTGTATACACCTGATTGTATAAGGAGGGCAATGAGAAATGAAAGGTAAAGCAACCTGGCCCAGGTCATGCAGGCCTGTTGGATTCACTGCTTCTTTAAGAAGCATGGGTTAGCCTGACATAGAATAATAAACTGCATGATTTCAAGACAGAGATGAGAGAAGTTGAGGTAACTAGGACAAAATGAACCACTGCCCTCTGCCTCAGTAAATGGCATCACCGCCTACCCAGTTAGCCAAGCCACAAATCCAGGAGTTGTCCTTCACCTCTCTCTCACTCCCACATCAAATCCATTAGCAGGTCCTAGGAGTTCTACCTGCAAATTTATATCCTTGTTTTACTACATCTGCTGCCCAACACCTTTGTCTAAGGTACATTTAACTCTCCCCTAGAAAACTCCAGTCACTTCCTATCCCGTGGCTACTCTTGCCCAGCTACAATCCATTTTCCCTACAGCAACTAACAAGCTGAATGGTATTGGCACTTGGGGCATCAAATAATCACTGTTCATTGTTGGGACCTCATTGCTCAGGCGGTCCTGCTCATTTCAGAATGTTTAGCATTGCCAGCCTCCGCCCAATAGTATCCTAAGTAAATGCCTCCACTTCCAAACGTCTTTCTGAGTGGGAGGTAATTCTGCCTCACCCCACCTGACCCCATCCTCAGGTTGAGAACCTTGGAGCCTGAGTGATCTTTTAACATAAATCTGAATATGTGACTGCCCTGCTTAAAACCTTTCATGGTTTCCCATTGCACTGAGAATAACTTCCCATCTCCTTCTGGGGACCTCAAGGCTGCTCACGACCTGGCCCCCATCCATTTTTCCAGCCTCTTCTTTTACAGCCCTCTCTCTGCCTTCTCCTCTTGTTTGCTTCAGCCCAGTATGCTTTCTCATCCTTGGCTACATCAACTATTTCCTGCCTCTAGGCCTTTATGCCTGCTATTCTCCTGGAATAGCTCCTTCCTTGACTCTTCTTGACTGACCCTCTTCTCTTTCTTCAGGCATAGGCACTAATGCCTATGTAGGTGTGAGATTGTCAATGGCCATCTGCGCTAAGACTAAAAGCAGGCATTGCTAAGAGATGGAGAGAGACAGAGGAGGCGGGGAGGGGAGGGGAGGGCAGGGGAGGGGAGGGGAGGGGAAGAGACATCTTTTGAACCCCTGAATCTCGCTGTGCCTTAGGGAGAACTCATCCATTTGAATTCTCAGTACACAAGGCAGTAGCATTCCCGTTTTTACTTAAGATATTTTGTGTGGGGTATCTATCACTCACTTTCCATGGAAAACATTGTGACTAATACTCCATGTGCTTCCTCAGAGTGCACCTGTGTGTACAAGGGTGGACAGAAGGTTAGTCTCTTTTACCACTGGGTGAAATGTGACTCTTCAGGATCTCCTTGCAAGCTCCCTTAAGGGGGGACTGGAGTCCTTGGCAGAGTTGCTCAAATCTTCTCATTTCCAGTTCTCCACTAAACATCTCCACTATCTTTCCTGACATCCTGCTCCATCATCTCCTTCCTTTTTTCTTCCACCTCTTTTTGTCTTTTTCCCTAATTAGGCTCAAAATTCTTCTTGAAAAAGAAGTCTTCTCTCCACTCAGTTATCCTTTTAAATTACATGTTATCTCTCTCACCCTTCACCATGAAACTCCTTGCAAGAGGGTTTAAATGCTTCTCATTTCCTTATCATAGACATACCACCAATCAACCCTCTGCAACCAGGCTTTTACACCCACCTGTCTATTAAAACTGCATTTGCCAATGGTTACCATGACCTCTAAGTAGGTCAGCTAACCATGGCCTTTTCTGGGTCTTCATTCTCATTGTTTTTTCTGCAGCCTTTAGCCCAGCTGCACATACCTTCTTCATCTTCCTTGGCTTCTGAGATACCTAATGGTTTTCCCACCTTCTTGGCCATTTCTTCTGGGGACTGACTTACTGGCAAAATCTCTAGGCAACAGTGATAAAGTGAGGGTCAATGCTTGATCAGTCTTCTTAGTTCAAATGAAACCACTCAACTGGTTGTTAGTCCCACCTCTTTAAAATTCCATATGAAAGGATCCATCACTTGGGTTGCTCAGAACAACCTAATGCTAGGTGACAAAAGTTGAAATTCTCTAGGCACAACTCTATAGTAGGAACTGTTTATTGCTTTATGTTATCTGAGCACCTGAATAGTGTCTACAAATGTCCACTGGATTTACCTGTCCAGATAGTCCCCCTCTCTTCAAACCAGAGCTTTCACTTGAAGCCTTAAAATTGATTGACTAGAAAGACCAATCCTGTATCATGACATGAAAGGTATTCAGTATGATCAACAGTATTTTAAACATACATAATACACATATAATTAAAGTGAGGTTCCTATGTTAATTACCATTCTCTCCTTACCTAGGTATTGGGGAAAACAATGGTTGGTTTGTCTGTACAAAGTTCAGGCACTTGGTCTTCCTTTAGCACTAATTTTGACCTTTATGAAAAGAATTATTTTCTCGTGAGGAAATGGGCATATCCTATGGTTTTTGAGCAAATTCTAGTCTCACTTTTTGCTGTGTATAGTAATGTTGCAGCTTTTCATTCTATTTTGTCTCTATTTACACTTTGACTTTGCTTAGGGACACTTGTGGCATGGCTGTTGGGAAGATAGTCCACACACCTGAGGTTGGAAGAAGTAGGCAATGAATGTGACCACATTTCAGCTTAGAACCTTCTTTATTAAGGAAGGTCCTTCAGATACTTTTATTAACAAGCAGATATAAGCTTGGCAAGAGCACCTGTCAAAATCACAGTTCTCGTTGTTTTTGTGAGGTCAAAGAAGGCAGAGAACAGTGGTGGTGGTTTAGCATCAAAACAATGACAATTGAGTGGCTGGCTTTATGCCTTTTATCAAACATAACTGCCACCCCCTCTGCATCTGTTTTCTGTAGAATGAAGAGAAGTTGAGATTCGAGGCTTGATATTAATCTAAACCACATGTACCACTTGCTTTGATAGCAGATAAGGTCCCTACCCCTACTTAGACTTGGACAAAATGGTGGCTATGTTCTTTTTGCCAATCCTTCTCATCGCTGACCTTCATCTAGATCTTGAAGTGTCTGATTCTCCCGGGGCAAGGGCGGACCAGTGGCCGGGTAGCAGCAGCCATGCCAGGCTCTACTGCCGTGTGTGCTTTCCCCACTTGGAATGCTTCTCCTGAGGCTGACTCCACTGAGGCCACACCCCCGAAGGTGTTGCGAAGGTCATAGTGTGCCCGGTTCACTGGTGCAGATGGCGGGGGAGCTGCCACCACCAGGGGTCCCACCACCATGGCAGCTGCTGGCAGGTTAGCTGAAGGGGGTATAGGCATAGCTGTGGCCACCCCAGTGGTGGGTGTATTGGTCTCTGACTGAGGCTGCAGCAACATAGGCTAGAGAGAGAACCATTTCCTTAGGTTAGCAAGCTATCTTTCTCCTCCTAGACAAAGCCACCCATGCTTCTGGGTAGAACCACACCCAATTCTCTCTCAATAATAATTTTTATTTGCAAGGAATCAGGGGGGAAAAAAAGGACAACCTAGGAGCAAAGGATTGTCATCAGAGCTGAGGGGAGGGCTTATGGTAGCCCCTTCTCACCAATTGTCTTGGGGACTATGGACTCACACATGTCGCACGAGCAAAAGCACCCCACTTGATGGCTAACCTTTACCAGCCTTGTCACCCACTTTGTCATCTACACCTGCAGCCACTAGGAGCTGCTGGGCAGATCTGGCTATCTGGTCTCTGCAGCACAGAAAACCATTCCCACTCCCCGAAAATAAAAAAGTGGCCTTTTCAACTACTTACTATGATGGTTCTACCCTGTGGGCACTGGCTCACAGGAAGGGAAGGAATGGCTGAAATACCCTTCCATTTGTTGATGGTTCTACACAACCCAGTGCTACTTATCACTGTGGGGCTCAGAGGGGCAGGGCAGCAAATGCCCTGTGATTATGAACACGCTACCTACATGTCAAGGGGTCTTTGATTTCTGAAGATAAGGGCAAGTGTATCCCTGATGCCATTACCTGTGTTTTGAACACTGTACAGGTCACTTCAGCAGCATCCCCAACAGCCTTCTCATTGAAGGTCGCCTTACAGAAGCCATATTGCTGCCACAGAAAGACAGGAATTAGTTGAAGTGGTTCAATAAGTGGATTTCTCCCCCCAGTTTCACTGATAACCCAACACATCAAAGGGGAAAAAAAACTTAAATTCTTAATTCCTTTTTTCAAATGTTTTTTTCTAAAGTTTATAGTGTCTGCTTACAGAGGATATAGAAAATATAATTCTTTATAGAATGTGGAAAGTTACAGAAATGCTTTGAGAGTGGAAAAAATCATGCATAATCCCCCAAATGGTGGTAACTCAGGGGAGCTTCCATTAACAACCGCGTCTTTCTTTCTTATTTTAAAACACTGTTAAATATCACTTAAAAATTGAAATCATTGTGACTATACCATTTTGTATTCTGTGTTTTTCACTTGCTATAATATGAGAGCATTTTTTCATATCATTCATTATTCCTTGAAAACATGATTTTTAGTGTCTGTATAATTTTCTATTCACTGATGTGCCATATTTTATTCAATGACTCTCCCTTGTTAGACATTCAGATCTTTTGGGGGTCATTTGTATCTGTGGTAAATCATCTTTATAGATGTGTTTTTAAATTATGAAACTATTTTATTTTTTCTTTTTATTTTTTATTTTACTTTTCAATTTATTTCAATACTTTTTTAGATTTTATTTATTTATTCTTAGAAAGAGGGGAAGGGAGAGAGAAAGAGAAAGAGAGAAACATTGATGTGTGAGAGAAACATCGATTGGTTGCCTCTCTTACACACCCTGATAGGAGACTGAACCTTCAACCCAGGCATGTGCCCTGACTGGGAATCATACTGGTGACCTTTAATTTTTTGGGACAATGCCCAGTCAACTGATCTACACCAGTCAGGGCCAATTACCTTCAGTATTATTTTGCATTAGTTTCATGTGTATATAGGTATATTTTTGTCAAATGTCTCTGATGATCTCTTTGGGCTAAATTCTAGAAGTGGACATTATTGGCTCAAGGGCTTGAAAAATTTCATATCAGAAGTATATCTAGCAAATCTGGACTTCACAGCCCCAGCAACAGGGCATGACTTGACTTAGTTAGAAACAGTTTGTTTTTCCTAACTCCAGGGGACTCCAGCAGGTGAGATGATTCGGGGACAGCTCTTAAAGGGAAAAGATAACATCCTAGAGGAGGGCCTGGTGTGACGCAGCCCCACAGGGAGTGGGTATTTTACACAGTGATCTCCTTTCCACAGCCAGAAGATACTAGCTTGCTCTAAGGATGCTCTGTTCTATGACCAGCATTGCCATCTCAGAGCCTGGTCCACTCACCTTTTCTGCCAGCAAGTTACATTTGGCTGGGTCTGTGACCTCTTTAGCAACACAGTCAGTGGCAGCCACTGCAAACTCCACGTAGGTTGAAGGTGGAAGAGGCTGATGAAAATAAATGAAAATGTTCATGAGGCAACATGACAGCATGAAAAAGGCAGAGAAGAAGAGGCTGGAGAAAAGTAGCCAGGGCCATGGCATTGCACACTACAAGAAGCACCACAGTGAGTGGCTAGAAAACATGGCCTGGATGGGTTGCATGGAGTGGTTGCTGTGGCCTCATGTTCTGAAGTGCTTGTACATAGAGGTTAAGGGTGGGTATCCCTTAAAGGAGGTGCAGGTAACCACTGCCCATCATTCAGGGCAGAGTGAGTTTTCAAATAGGAAGCAGGAGCCCAGAAACCAACCTTATGCTGATTCAAGTGAGAACCCAGCTTCCCATACCCAGCCTTTTCCCTTGGGGCTGCACTTTGAGACCCAAGTTTACTCCAAGGGACAGGAAAGTAGAGATTAATTAATACCTCTCCCACCAATTGTATCAAGTAGTATCAAATGAAAAATAGAAATGAGAATATAGAAGATATTTATGCTTTTCTTTTTTTTAGTTCTTAAGAAGTATATGGACACTTAAAATAATCAAATTTCTGTTATTTGGTACAGTGTGGGGGTGGGCGTGCTCTAAGAAGTGCACATTCTGGCTAATAGAATTACCACCTATACAGTACATTTCCAAGTATGCCATGGCTGGTATCCAGAATACCATTTTTCCTAAATATTAGAATTTTTTTGCACTCAAATATGCTTAACTATCCATAGCACAATTAGATTTTTTTCAGTAATTCAAAAGGCATTTTGGGATCCTGCCATTATATGCCTATCTGTGTGAGTAGGCTCCCACCTTTATAAGTATCAATTATGCAAGTGCTGTCGATGGTCAGTGGTGATGGCTGATAAGGATGTGGAGACCCATGAATTTTCAGTGAGTCCTTCTGGGTAATGTGGGAATTCCTACCCACTGAACAGTGAGCCCTGGCATTAACTAGAACTGAGGAATTGGGGACAGGCAGTGACTGGCTGTTTATGTTAGAGTGGCTCAGCATGGAGGAGGCACTGAGGGTTCTTTGGGTCCACGTGACACTCAGGGTCCTCCCATCCCCCACTACTCTTTTCCCCTTTTTTCCCATCACCCTCCTTGCCTTCCCATGGCTACCCCTGCACCTGCTCTGTCCCTCACTGCTCCTTCATCATGTGCCTTCCCCAGGGGCCACCAAACTGCCCGATTTGTCAAAAGGTCTCAGTCTTACCACAAGTTGAGCCCGGGTAACTTCCAGGAGCTGAAAGTAGGAGCCATCATTACCCGCATTGAAAGCTGTCAGTGCAGCCTCTACAGCGTGCACCACCCTGGTGTCATTAAGCGGAGCCAGCAGGGCACAGTCTGGGCACACTTTTAGCACGTCCTCTGCAGAGTCTTCGCACAGAGAGAAGAAATGGATAGGCTGTAATTCTCTGTGGTGTCCACCCCAGCTCTGCTTATTTAGAAAGGGCTAAGACATGATCCAAATGGCTTCAGGCGTTTTCTCTGCTTCTCACTAAACCTTCAGGTGTCATGCTGACATTCCTGCAGGAGTCCCTCTCTCTCTACAAGGGCAATTTTCACCTCCAATGAAAACAGCTTCCTAAAACAGTTTTAAAATCCCAGAACCCAGGAAATTTGGTTTCTTCTTTTCCTCACCATCAAAGGGTCTAGAACTGCTCATGTAGATAACAATGCAGGTTCCTTCCTCACTCTCTCTACAAGGTCAAACAAAACAAGAAGAATCATCTCTACCTGGACTGGAATGACATTTTGCAAACAACACGAAAAACTGGCCATCCTGTTTCAGCACACGGAAATCACAATCTCCTTCCACAGCCTGGAGAAATAAACCCACAGTGAGGGCCCTGGAGGAGAGCTGACCCTTCGCTTCTCACCCCCAGGAGGGGTGGGTCCCTCAGGCATGGTTGTCAAAAGTGAGCCTCACAAAATCACCTTCACTGGATGATATGGCCCATTCCAATCTGGTTGTGGGAGGGCTACAATAAGCAAGTTGAACTGTTGCAAAAGATCAGCCTTAAGGAAGGAAGCTTCAAATGGCAATTTTAGAAAATGCACACTGGCTGGCCATGAGGGCCAGCTTGGCAGCTGGATAAATGGGCATGCTCTCTGCAGAACCATGATGGAAATGGCTGGGTCACCGCCCCGCCCCCCACAATCACCCTCAGAATGCCACTCACATGCTCTGTCAGCTGCCTCACAGAGCAATTGGCCACAGGGGTGGGGTCCAGTACATGGCAGGTGGTTTCCAGTGTGTCTATTTCAAGCTCAAACACTTCTCCCACTGGCCGCTGTGGAGACATAGAAGGAAGAGGTAAGCAGCCTATTGTCCTGTTCCTGATGATCAGGTCAAAGTGCAAGCCCTCGTTGGGCTTAACCCCACCCCCTGTTGGAGAGGTGAAGGAAGCCATTTCTACTGTGAGTCTGCAACTCCATCCAGCTCTGACCTGCCCTGTGGACTGGACCCCAACAGGGCCTCCTGGTCCTCCCCTGCTGGCTGGGCAGGTGCTCGAAGAAGGAGGAATGGGCATGGATGGGTTGATGGAACCACAGTCATCACTCCGAGCTCTATTTGGAGGCTAAAAGTGAGTGCTGACATTGATTTAATTTTGAAAATTTTGCCCTTCAAGCAGCTTTGAAAAAGTCAGCTTTGGATTTTTCTCAGTTAAGCAGTGAAGTAAGATACTGTAGAATAATATCTTACTATTCTACTCCTAATATCTATTTTATCTTCTCCATCCCTCCATCAGCTTCTTTTTTTCTTCCCTCTCATCATCTACATTCCTTCCTTCTCCATTTCCTTTTCCTTCCTAAAGGAAAAGTCCTTAGGTTTGTTGGTTTGTAAATGCATGATGCAGAGTCGCTGCTCTCTACTGCCCTCTGCTGGTGGTAAGGGGGAAGAAGCGCACCTCTCTGACACAGGAAGCTGTGTTCTAAGTCCCTAGCATAGACAGGCTAGGAGTTCTGGGGGAGGCAGTGATAGGAGAGGTTGTAAAACTCTTTGGAATTGTTCTTGCCAGTTCACCCATTTCTGTATCCTTTCTTCAAAGCCTGGAAAATCAAGAAGGTATAAGTGTGCCTTTTTTCATTTCACCCTAGTTCTTCTTCCCTATCATATCTGTTCTGCCTTATTCACTAGTACCCGAAGCCTCAGAATCTCCTCTCCTGGAGAAAGCTGTGTTGTATGATGTGTAGGTGTGCCCAAGTTAACTTCCTGAAAACACTCAGAGCTGCAGGGAATAGAAGCTGCACACCCCTGGGTTTCTCCAGGAAAGTAATTCTCAAGCTCTGCCGTTAGTGAAAACCACAACCTCTGTTCATCACCTTTTCCTCACACGTGCACATTGTGTGTTATTCCCCCTGAATCCGTGTTTTCTCTGGACTTCAGACTAGTTGCAGAGCTCCTCATATCCATCCCGACTATCCTGATTTTAGATATTTTATCCCATTATGAAATCAGATGTTAGTCAGTCTGGACATCCTGCTGATGTTTATCTTATTTGCCTTTCTAGACTGTAAGCCATTGTGGGCACTATGTCATTTCTCACTTTTGTATTGGGTTGAGTCATTAAAATGCCACTATTTGACTGCTTTTAATGTAGAAAAATGGCAGTTTCATATGGCTCAACCTAATACAGCATCTGACACTGGTTCTTGCCCACAGAAAGACTTAATCAACATTTGCTGAATTATTCCTCATCAGATGTACAATCTAATTTCAAAATAGTCAGACCAGTGCCTTTTCCCCACCTCTCCAAATGTCTCAACTGATCTCCTAGGCATATTTTTTACCTTGATCTTTATTGTCACTGTCTGCATTGGTTTCTTGTTCAGCATTGTGAGGAAGTAAACCTTATTGATGCCAAGATTTCTCTCTGGGCTGTGAGATCTGAGAGGCAGCTTGTATAGAGGAAGGAACAGAGGTTTGGAATCAAATCCCAGACCAGTGCTTACTAATTATATGAACTTGGGGGGAAAAAAAAACAAACTGCAATTTGTCAGATCCTTGGTTTCCTCTTCTGTAAGATAAAGACAATACCTTTCACACAGGCCTGGGGGATGGGAGGAGTTAAGGAGATAATACATGTGAAAGGGCCTGGCATGTGGTAGGTAAATTGTCAAATGCTATTTTCATTCACTTTCAGTCTTCATCCAGAGAAACAGAAGCAAAGATAAGTGATTTCCAATCAGTGATAATTAGGCAACTAGAATCCAGTCTCTTGCACCCAGGTTTTTCTAGCAAGCCACACCTTCTCCCTTTGATCTTCAAAATATCCTTTTCTTCTCCTGCAAATCTTCCCCACCCCCCAGCACTTTCCTTGTGATTCCTGAATACAGATCAGGGGGTGTCCTCTTTTGCCCTCCACTTGCTCCCTCCCTCCCTCCCTCCTGGGAAGAAATCAGAGTTTATCCCTGTGCAGTTTCATTTGTGCTGGCAGATGTGATCTTTTGAGACACCCAGTTAAGCTCCACAAACAGGTTCTTTTAGCTCATACGCAGCAGGTTCACTTACCCGAGGCCACACTTTCACTTTGTCAATCTGGTTCAAGGTGTGCTTGTAGCCTCGACTACTGCGCTTATTTATGTAGTCCACGGCCGCCAAAGCTGCTTGCTCTGTTTCTGGGTCATCACAATTCAGTTCTCTATAGGCCAAACCTAGGCCAGGTGGGGCAGCGTGGCAGCCCCAGAGCTGAGCAAGGCAGAGGACCAGAATGAGGAACTTCATGGCTGCTCCAGAGAGGCCCTGGAAGGTGGGCAGGTGCTGGAGACTTCAGGAGTAACTCAGGTGCTCTGCTGGGAAAGGTAGACCAATGGAGAGGCCAAGGGCTTTATTTATCTGCTGAAGCCTCCCAGAGGAATTGCATAAGGGTGTGGGATGATTTTTGTTGTGGTTCCAAGAGAACTCCTGCAAACATGAGCCCTGGAAAAGCAAACAGGTTAGGACATTGCTGGCCCCCAAGAAAGCTGCCAAATCAATGCTTCTGAGAATGAGGTGGGGGAGATGCTCTAAAGTTGGCTGGGAACATGGTCCCAGCAGCAGTGAGAGGAGGTTGAGGGGAGGATGAGGTGTGCACGGAGGTGAGGTGGACTGTTGAGTGCTGCGGTTTGGCAGCAGAGTGAGAGCCTTCTGTTGTGATCTGAGCACACCATGGAGTCTGTGAGGGTAAAAAGGGGGATGTGTGGAAAATTGATAAAATCATGTAATGTCAGGGAGGGTTATCTCCTCCAAAAGGGATCCTAGAGGGAGGACAAGGCCTACAGATATAGCAAAGGTACAGATGACCTAGAGTGAGAAGGGAGGGCTATGGGAGATGCTTAGATCTTAGGTAAGATTCTTGGAGGAAAGAAGAGAGATGTTTCTGCCTAAAGCAGGGAATAGAGGTGAGACCAGGGGAGTCCCTCAGCAGAGCCAGGGAGGGCCGTGGCTAGCAGAGCAATACAGCACTCTGTATTCCCTCACCCACTTGACTCCAGACCTCACTGCCAGGGCCCTGTCAGTGACAGCACAGACAGCACTGCCTGGATCTCCTGGGTGGCGGGTGTGATTGGCACCAATGGCCCTGTGCCACCTGCAGCTCAAGCCCCCAGCAAGTATGCAAGAGCAACAGAGCGGGTAGGGGGTAGGCAGGGTGGCTGGGCTAACAGCCGTTCACTTGGCAAAGCTCTGAGTTTGAGCTCCCCCCACTGCAGCGGAGACACCACAGGGGCAGCAGACAACACAAATGCCTCCTAAATGTTCTCTAAAGACTTAGCACAGTTAAAGGCTTTCTGGCCAGAGCACAGGGCCACAGTGTTAGTTCCAGGCACTGCCTTTAAAGTGGCCCTCGACAATCCCAGGTGTAACTTCTAAGGAGGGCAGCCAGGATAGAAGAGGCTTGGAAAATATTGTATGAGGACCTGGCTTGGTTTAACCTGGAGCAAGGAAGCCCTACATGAAGACCAATATGTTCTTCAAACATTTAGAGGTCATCGTTATGTGGGGGTGGATTTGCTCTGTTGTTTGCTATTGCTTCAGAGAATGAAACTGGGTTTTAAAAAAAGAGGGGGCCTTCTAGAGGGGAGCTTACTAATATCGATTTACTGGGGGAGGGAGGGTGATGGGGGAGTGTGATGGGGCACAGGAAGTAGCTAGAAGGGCAAGTTCCACATTTACCCCCAGCTGCTCCTACACTAACACAGAATCCTAATGACAGAAACTGTGGTCAGGGTTCCAGGTTCTCTCTGACAGGGGGTCCTGGCTCTTAGAGACACAAAACAAGCTCTGGGCCCCTAGGAAGATGACCCTCAGAACCAGGGGTGACTTTCCATCAGCCTTATGCCCCATTTTCTTCAGGGTCTTGACTCATGGGCAACTTTTTGTGGAGGCTATGCTTTTCTTTCTTTTGGGTTATTTTTGTATTGTTTTGTTTTTATTTGTTTTTGCTTTTTAAAAATTAATTTTCTAATATAAAATGTGACCATTAGTAATTAAATGTGAAAATCACAAAAACTATGTTCAGGGAGTGAATATTTCATGTGTTATAAGCTCAACTGTATAAACTATAACTTCATTTTCTTTTTCTTTTTTTTAAAGATTTTATTTATTTATATTTTAGAGAGGGAAGTGAGGGAGAAAGAAAGAGAGAGAGAAACATCAATGTGCAGTTGCTGGGGGCCATGGCCTGCAACCCAGGCATGTGGCCTGACTGGGAATCGAACCTGCGACACTTTGGTTCACAGCCCATGCTCAATCCACTGAGCTACACCAGCCAGAGCATAACTTCATTTTCTACAACACATTTGAATTTGTGACTCAGCACTCTTTTGTGAAAATTTAGCTGCTTCCAGGTAAGCTGTTTTCACAGCCACTTGGGTTGAAACCAAGTCCCACCAAGGACTGTTTGCCCCTCATACTTCTTCTCTCCTCGGGTTAAGAGCAAGCCTGAGTGGGGAGTGGGGCGACTTAGACAAATACCACTTCCGTCAAGGGCAGAAAGGGGTTCTCCTTTGCCTAGTGAGGCTGCAAGGTCCTGTGCTGGCATCATCTGTCTCATTTGTCCTTAGTCCCATCCACCTGGCATGTCCACTCATGAGCCAGGTCCTGCTTGCCGCATCTCACCCCCAGACAAAAAGTCCTCCTGCATCCCCAATCAGGGGTACCCTAATCTCAGCAGTGACCCTTGCTAGACTGCAGGCCTCTCTCATCTAGGTGCTACCCACTCCTTAAACTGTAGCTGGGAAAATGTAGCTGCTGTGCCCACCCACAGTGCAGGGGACTTCATGAAGCTGCCTTCAAGCCCATCCACCTAGACAACCCTGCAGCTGTGGCCTACCACTGCTCTGGTGCCACCTGCTGCTCAGGGGACTTCTCCGTGTGATGTGATGTCTCCCTGTGCTACCCGTGCACCCATTCTCCTCCCTCGTCCCCATGGTGAGTTCTGGGTTCCCTCTGCTCTGGGATTTCCACCCTCTTTTTGAGGTGGTTCTATTGCCTCCTCAACCTGAAGGTCGCGGGAGGGAGAAAAGTTCTGTTTGATCATTTCTGACCATGTCTGTCTGTTACTTGGAGCATTTCTCTTGGTATCTTTATTCTTGGATCTTCCCTGGGTGGCGATTTCTAAGGCACTAGGTATTGTCCAGTTTTGCTGATGCTAAGAAAACAAAAAGCAATTAATAACCGACCTATTATCCTATCACCTATAAACAGAAAAACAAACTCATCCACAATCTCATCACCCACAAACAGACATTTTAGTACATTTCCATTTTGTATTTTTTTCCTCTGCAAGGGATTATTTTAATGTAATTTAAATCATACTGTATATACAACTTGTATTCTCCTTTTTTCATTTCATATTATAACTGGAATATTCCACCCATGTCATTAGACTTGAAAAACATGCTTATAATGACTGTCTATGATTCTATTGTGTGTATCACTTATTTAACCTTCCTCTTATTGTTGGATGTTTAGTTTGTTCTAAGTGATCACTATCATATACCGAAGTTTGAATGAAATTTATTTAGGAATCTTTGGTGTTCTAGTTATATTTTCAGGATAGATTCTTATTAGTGAAATTATTGATTCAAATGATTTGTATATTTTTATTTTTAAGTTTATTTATTGTATTTTTCCATAACCATTTATAACCCTTATACCCTCTTCCACCTCCACTCCCCACCTTCTTCCCCTCAGTCACCACACTGTTGTCTGTGTCCATGAGTTCTTTGTCTTTTTTGCTCGATCCCTTCATCAGCCCCCACCCAGCTCTCTATCTATGAATCTGTCTCTATTTCACATGTTAGTTTAGCATGTTCATTATATTCCACATATGAGTGAAATCATACGGTATTTGTCTTTCTCTAATTGGCTTATTTCATTTAGCATAATATTCTCCAGATCCATGCATACTGTAACAAAGGGTAAAATTTTCTTCTTTTTTATTGATTTGGATATTTTTAAAGCTTTTAATTTCTCTGGCCAAACTGTCTACCAGAAAAGCTGTGCCAGTTTATACCCCACCCCACCCCACCCTGTCGAACTTGTGTGCTGGGTCCGGTCGGCTGTTTCCTACTTTCCTTTGTTGTTGCTTCCATGCTGACTTCTGCAGGGACCTGGATATGGGGAAAGCATCAGAACTCTTCTAAAATGTAATTTATTAGTATCTTTGTTTTTTTCTCAAATATTCCATGTCTAATTCTTATAAACTAAAATAACTTTGATATCAAGCTGAACAAAATGGTCCCTCATTTAAGTTGTTTCAGCTTACTCACAAAGAAATGTTACCATTTGCTTACTGACAATAAAGAGGAAAATAAATGATACTATGGTATGTCTTCCAAAGGAGATGTAACAAAGAGTGCCAAAGGGAGGTTATAGGTGTTTCACCGTGCCTGACGCCACCAATTGCAAACTTGGAAAGATTTTCGCCTGCCATATGCCAAGTGCACATACTCGTGAGTGCTCTCGGGCCAGTCCCATCCCCCCAGCTCCAGCTTCTTTGCATGCCAGTAGGAGATAGGCATTTACTTCTCTTTTTTTGTCATTTGTCTCATTATTTTAATTACTTTTCTGTGCAATTTTCTATGAGGCCCACATGACTGTATTAAAACAATACTCTTTCCCTTCACACTATCTGTATCTGATAGGGTATGGAAAATATCAAGGGTTTGTTAGCTCAGGTAGAGGAGACCAGGCCCAAAAGCCTAAGGAGCAGAAGAGGACCAACCACCTCCAGGACATGCCAGCAGGGCGCTAAGAGGCATTGCTGGGTGGAATCCCCATGCCTGCGGCTAATGGTGGAGATCTCAAGATGGCAGCTGTGGTTGGCTCCAGGTCTCTGGATTTGTCCGTAGAGCTCCCCACTAGGGTAGCAATGCATTCAAACTGTTCCAGGGCAGCATTCAGGATGTATGGCTGCCAATCAGGAGGCAAGACAAGAAGAATCACAGGAAAGCTCAGGGTCAGAGTTGCTGAGGTTGTTACTGTCGGGGCTGTGCCAAGCACCAACGGGTCTCTCAGGGGAAGGACAGAACTAGAAGAGGGTGAAATATCATGCCAGGCAGCAGGAGCCGAAGTGAGGGCCTCTCACAAAACATGACATGGACAAGGGCATGTGAGCAAAAGCCAGAGGAACGATTGGTTTTCACAGGGAGGAAGTGGCAGTGGTTGGTGTTTAAATCATTGGGCCAGACTCCTGGCTCTGCCCTTTCTGGTACTTAAAGGGCCTAGGCCCCGAGTGGCCAAGGATTAATTTCTGATAAGTGTGGTGTTTCCTCATTCATATGGACATTATTAAATACTTACTATCTGTGATGTTAGGGGCCTCAATGCAGAGTCATGAGAAGACACCATCTTGCCTGAAGGAGCTCATCTTAACTTATTTGATCCAGCGACATTTGATTAGCCAAGAACTATAAGTTATGCACAATTATATTTGTCCTGTGGAGACAGACTGGAATTTATTTCTCCAGTGTAAAGCATCGCTTAATGGAATGCAAGTTATCCTTGTGCAAGGACGTGTCAGATTTCTTGCGAAGGTGTCTCAGCACCAGTAGCCCTGGACGTGATTTGGAAGAGCCCTATGGACTCAGTGCCAACGCACCGAAGTTGGGAGACGTGAGCCTGAGCAAATCATGGTAAAAATTATTAAACCACAGTAACCACAGGTGATTACTTCCTTTCTTTGGGTGGAGAAAGGGCTCTCCAGGCTCTCCCAAGCCTGCTCTCATAGCCATTCAGACCTGGCTCTGAAAATCCAAATGCTGAAAAGAACCACATTTGAGGGGATAAATGGGGAAAAGTAGAGCCTGGACTAGGGTGCAGCAAAGGAGATGGTGAAGGTACAAAATTTAAGGAGGCGCTCATTCACAAGGTTGCACCTCCTTAAATATTGCATCTTTGGTCTCTTCCTTGCCGCACCCTAGTCCCAGCCCTGGGGACGAGGCATAATCTAAATCTAGAATAAAAGAAGTTTGTATTTCTTCAAATCTTCCTACTCTTTCAAGGAAAGTTCTTTTACCATTTAGGTTGGTGATTCTATAAGTGAAATTGGCCTCAAGAACACAGTGCTCCTTGCAGTGGGCTTTTCATCATCACATAAGAAACTACGGAGAACTTTCCATTTTCTTTTGTTCAGAAGGCTTCCAACTGTATACTGTTTAGTGTGGCTTTGACACCCACTTCAACATCTCTCTCTCAAAAGAGAGAATCATTTTAGGGTTAAAGGAAGCATGGGGAGATTTGGGCTTTCTGAGGCTGGAATGGCTCCTCCTCAGGAAAACAGCATCATCATAGCTAATGTCCATTCCTTCTTCTGTCATTGCACTTTGACCCCATAACTCCACGGGAGCTGTATTGTTCTCATCATCTGTTTTTTATAGAAGAAGCAGAAGCTCAAAGAGGTTTGGGGCTTGACCACAGCACACAGTGGTGGAGCCTGGATTTAGCCCTATCACTTTTTCTCCGTTAACTCCAAATTAAAAGAATATAGGACCCAAAGGAAGTTGAGGATTCTGGCTGCTGGACACTGCCTAAAAGTGAGTAAATCACTGTTCTTAACAATAGGAAAAATGGCTCTATACTGTATTTGAAGAAAAGTTAAAAAAAATTTTTAATGGACTGAGTTTGGTTAACAAGTGAAAGAATTTTTAAAAGTTGTTTATCCACATAATTTTAGTCAGTAGAAAATAGATGGAGATCAATATTGCAGAAGAGATTTTTACCTGTTGACTTTAGTGAGGGCTCGGCTGGTGTTGAAATGGTTTGTACTTCAGGTTTAGAAAGTAAATAAAAAGTAAATGATTACGTTATTTCTGGTTAATGTTTTCCAGAGAAATGCTAGTCAATGCAGAGAATCACATCCATCTCTCCTGCTGGTTTCTGTCATTAACTTTTGATGTCTTCAAAACCAGGGTAGTGGCACTCTTCAGACAAGAAGGAAGAGGTGAAATTGCCTTCTAACGAGCCCCATGGTCCGCTCTCTGGGGCCCTTGGACACAGAGGTGTTCAGAAGAGCTGTGTCTTTACCATCCAAGAGTTGTATGGTTACAATGAGGCCACTGGAGTTAAATAATCCATTGCACCTTAGTAAATTTGGGCACTTGTTTGTCCATCATGTACATTACTGGAGATGCAATGGGTCCTTTCAACAGTGAGTCCATATTGTAGATTCGGTGGATCCACTTACTGACTTGTATCGAGTATTCTCTGGACACACATTCATTAACCTCAAAATTAATTTCTTACATTTTTCTAGGCACTAAGTATTACAGATAGAGGGTATAATTCTTGCCTTCCAGTTGCTCACTGTTGGATCTGGCTCCATAGCACTTTGTTTAGTTTTTATGAGCACACAAGAGAAGTATAAGCTGTGGTTCCTGCCTTCAGCCTACATTAAATCTGGAGGAACAGAATCTCTGAGTTGGAAGAGTTCTCAGAGGACAGCAGTGTTTATGTCATTTTCAATCTTGAACCCCCAACACCTGCTTCCTGACTGGCACAGACTGAGACCCATGCATGATCACTGAGGGCCTCTATCCCTGTCTTCCACTCAGCTCAGAGCCTCCCTCCAGCGTCTGGTGTCTGCTTGAGAACATTCAAATACGGGAATCTCTTCACCACCCTGGCAGCCCATTCTATTGTTGAATCACTCTAGTAACTAGGAAGTTACTAGGTTCCTCCATGACGAGTCAACATGACCCTACCTTGTGACTTTACCAATGGATCCTGAGTCTCCTTTAGGTACTACACAGATTCAATGAACTTCCTGCTCTATGTGTTGGGCTTTCGGTATTTAGAGACATTCACATTATATCCTGCTAACCTCCATCATCTCTGTTACTTCTCGGGTGACTTAGTTTTGAGACCAGCTCAACATCTTATTCACATAGCCCAGAGTGGCACCAGTGGTTAAAAAATAGGATGAATTATCTTGTGATTGGGAATCAAATGAATTGCATAGTTATCCAAGTTGGTGTGCACTTGTGTGTGAACAGGTGTGCACAAATGAAGGACAATTCAACAATTACTAGGAAAGGAGGTAGGCGATTTTCTACTTGTAGAACAGGAGGATTTCTCCTGGTTTCCAGAGATTGATCTGAACTCTGAAAAGTATTAACAATGGAACCAACCAACAGAGAAGCCATTCTTCTCCATAGATGACCTTGATTAGACTTCCTGAATGTTGAGATGGAACATATATGGGCTAGTAGAAGACCTATAATAGGGGACCAGGTCTTCACTCATCTTGAATTCAGCAAGGCTCTCAGCTGGTAGCATTTCTTCATTACAAGTGGTCTGATCACTAGAAAACACTTAGGGACATGGAAAGTCTTTGCTTCTGGTGTTCTTATTAGGACAACTTGTTTGACGAGTTGAAATTGAGAGGGTGCTGAGCATAGGGCCAGGACAGGGAATGTGGGCAACTTTCTTTCTGCCCTGGGATTGTGCAATAGGCAGCCAAATCTTTCTAAAAACTGAACCCTCCAGGACTCATATTCTAATGGAGACCCAGGCAGTGGGAGAATGGATACAGCAGGGAGCTAAGGGTAAGTAAGACAGAGAGGGGCCAGACGGGTGGGGGCCAGGGGCTGGAGCACTGGAGTACTAGATGGGCTCGGGAAAACGGGTAGTTCAGGAGGTTCGCTGGGAAGGGATTAGAATGGGCATTTAAATGACTGCATTTGCTCAGGGGCCTCTCAGTACCCCCTGGAGTACCCTGGTGTAATAATCTGGCCGGCTGAGTGGGCATGTGTCCTGTGCGGTGGTGCTGGGACACTTACAAGGGCCACATGCTTAGTATAATGCTCTACTATAGCTGTCTTGAAATTCCTAACAACTTTTGAATAAGGAGCTCTGCATTTCCATTTTGCTTTAAGCCATGAAATCAGGTAGCGGTCCCGTTCATCATCAGTGGTACGTAAGAGGAGACATGGCAATAGGCCTTCACGGGAGAAGGGGAGAATCATTCCCGGCTGAGGGTGGGCAGGGGAGAGGAAAGAAGGCCTCATGGACGAGGACACATTTTTAATTTGGCCCTGAAGAATGGCAAGACTCAGGTAAAAAACAGTATGGCTGTCTGGTTGGAATGAATATGTTGGCAAAGTAAACGGTGGAGAAGTATGGGCAGTGTTCAGGGAATGGGAAGAAATCCTTGGAAGTGTGGAGTCCTGTTCCTGAGAGTCTCACATGGGCTCTTTCAGGGCAGTGCCAAGCTCAGCTGACCCTGCTACAGACAGTCTTCTTCTCAAGGCCTCTCACCATCGTTTTCTCCAAGTGTGATTCTTCCAGGTGCCTGTCCAATAATTAATAAATTAAATTTAGCCATGTTATTCATAGTTAGTACAAAGCATGACAGAAGGCAGGGAGAGGCAGATTTAATAAAGAATCAAATAGAAAATTTTAATTGAAAAGTGTGGTTATTTTACCTTGGCCAGGTAGCTCAGTTGATTAGAGTATCGTCTGGATATGCCAAGTTTGTGGGTTTAATCCCTGATCGGGGCACATGCAAAAATCAACCAATGAATACATAAATAAGTGGAATAACAAATTGATGTTTCTCTCTCTCTCTTTCTAAAACAAATCAATAAATTTAAAATAACATTTTAAAAGTAAAGTATGATTATTTAAATAAAAATGAAAATACTTAAGTAGGTCAAATAATAGATCAAATACAGACCAAGAAAGCATTTCATCAGGAACCCTCATGGTTTAATTTTCTCTCTCGATCTTTTACAACACAAGTCCTGGGTAGGGATTTGCACAGCAGACAAGTGGTGGAGGCAGAATGCCAATCAGGGTCCATATCCTGTACTCCTTCTACTACCCCACACTGCCAAGGCCCCCACTGCGCTCCACTGTGATGGGTTTCCCACAGCAGAAGCCTGGAGTGGTCTGGAAAACAGCACAAAGCTTTGGCACTTACAAAATTACGTGCAGTCATACCCTGTTGACACAGATAAGAGACAATAAAAGGGAAAGGCCATTTTTCTTTTAATCATCCCATGATCTCTATTCCCAACCTTATTATCCTAAAATTTGTTTAAGATTTATTTCCATTAACAACATGGATCATGAATGACACACCAGTATATATTTTGTTGTATTCCCCCTTGATTTACATAGATGTTGCAATTTACCACATGACCAGCATGCTTTGACTTCTTTTCCAATGTAAATGACCCAAAATGGGACAGTTACATAGATAGTTAGCAGGTCCTGGGTAGTCTTAGAGCCTCAGCTGCCTCTTAGGCTGTGTTTCTGCATGCCTGCAGACTGGTGGGACAGGTCCCCAGGATACCATCTGCAGGAGGGGTGGGGAGGCTCCTGGGGAAGAGCCCACTTTATTGGAATAGAGCTGGGACCGACAAGCCTGCCTGGTACTGAGGCCTTCTCCATGGTCAAAGGATCAACAAAATAGTGTCTGTCCCTCAAATTACTATAAATTACTATAAATTACTACGCCATGCTCACGCAGGCCTTATTTTTGCCGGACCCTGTGTGTCTCCTGGCCTGGCTCCACTTTGAGCTTATTATCTGAGTTCTAGTATATGTAAGAGCTTAAGAGGGTACTGTCAAGAAGGACCTCAGGAAGTGCAAGCATTTCAGTTTTGATGCCCATTGACAGCCTCTGACACCAAAGAGCAAAGAGACCTTCTCCCACAGTCTGTACAGAACTCACTGTGGGCCTGGGTGTGCCATAGCCTCAGCTGGGCAGGAGAGGGCAGTGCCCAGTAGGCAGGGCATTGCCAGGCCAAGGGCCAGCAGTACCTGGGCACAGGCAGCGGTTCCCAGGGAAGGCAGTGGTGCCACACAGAAGAGAGTGGGGCTCTCACGGTCCCTATGTCATTTGACTGCTGTTAGAAAATACAGGGTCTGGCACAAATAACACCCCTGTTTCATTACAAAATCTTTTATTACTAAATCATAATTCTGCAACGTAACACTATCACACTCAAGCATACTGTATGTTCACACACACCATATGGACATTTAATGTGAAATGTTCAAATTAAAACTATACATTACTACGCCATGCTCACGCAGGCCTTATTTCTGCCGGACCCTGTGTATCAACTTGATCTAAACAGCTAAGCCTGTACGCTTTTAAGAAATGAACAGAGAATTTGACATTTAACCAAAAGAAATATGGGAGCTCTCATTTAAGGAGGAATAGGGAATGATTACCAAAATAGGGAAAGTTTAAACCATTGAGAGACCACATGTAATCAGGATAGTGTAGCGAGAGGGAGTGGCAGCATTATCTTTTTGTAAAAAATCCAAAACTAACAGTTCAAGGTTAATTTACTTTCTGATGTAATAAAATCTAAGTTCAAAGTCAGTTTGTTATTCCTAAGATCTCTGTCCATGAGCTCAAGGTTAGGTCTAAGGTAATGACCAGACAACCTGAGGCAAGGGGCAGGACGGGGTACCTGGTGACCTGGAGTGGATGCCAGAGGGGCTTAGGCCCTAATTCCCATCCCACTGCCCTTTCTCTGGTATGAATGATTGACATTTCCTCAGGCTAACATGAGATGCT